CTGTTATGTGTAGGTACAGGGAAAGATAAATCATGCCCTCAGTGGCTGAGGTGAGCATCAGAGAGTTAAAGAAGAACACAAGAGACGTATTACCAGCCCTTGGTGAAAAAAAATCACAGTAGAGATAGAAAATGTTGTAAGGTTCCGTGGACTGGGGAAAACCAAGAAAGAATTTCAGCAGCACATTTGGGAATGAAACAGGGGCAAAGGAGAGAGCAGCTGAGGAGTGTGACATGAGGACGCAGGAAGGGACATTTCTGAATCTCGCTGGGCAAGTCCTCACATTGTACGGTGTTATGTTTAGTAAGTGCGGTATAGTAAACCAAAGGCTTTGTGCTCAGGAGCACACTCGTTCTGACTCTGACCAATTGGGTAACCTTGGGCAGGTCTATACATCTGTCTGAGCCTCAGTTTTTTCATGTGTAAAAGGCAGGCTATATATATATATATATATATATATATATATATACACACACACACACACACACACGACTCTCATATATATATATGAGAGTCATCTTTACGCTTAGACGAAATGGCAGAAGAGCATGCACCAATGAATGCTGATTTCCCTTGCCTACATCTTTTGACAGGAAAATAGATCTCTTGGGGTAAAACAATAAGGACATTTTCATTTTACTCTTCTTTCCTCTTTTAGCCTTGACTTTTATAAAAAGATATGGTAATAGAATCTCGGACATGAGAGAAATCTTTTAAAAATGATGTTTAAAAAAATCATAGCAGAAGATCCTTAGAGATTATCTAATCCAGCTCCCTCACATTTTAGGCAGGATTGGGAGGGGGTTGGGAGGAGGTCATCAGTCCTCACCCAGGTCTTCAGTTCTAGGTCAGACGCTGTATAAGTTTAGGTCTTTCTGAGCTCTAAAATGAAGTAGTACTTGTACAGAGGATTATTGCAAAGAATGAATGAGATTATATATATATATAAAACACTCAGTATAAACCATGACACAGTTCAGTAAAGGGTAGCTATTGAACTTTGATTTTCACAATTTAATTGACAAATAAGTTAAAGGAGTTGATGGCAGAAGAAAGAATTTGTGTTTATTAAATGCTTCTCATGAATAAGGTGTTGACGTGGGCACTGAAGCTTCTAAGTAGGCATCAGTGCTCCTGTTTCCTAGCTAGGAAACTGAGGTTCATCCCAATTCTATAATAACTTGCCTCGGGTACCTATCAGACTCTAAAAGTCCACACTGTCACAGCTGCCAAAGCTAGTCAGAATAAAGTCAGCGAGAAGATGGTCTTCTAACGACCCCATCAGTGTAAACCATGCATTCTCATTTTCAAAAAAAGAAAAAAATAACTTAGCAACAATAGCTAAAATACCAGACACCAAATGTTCTGTAACCTTCCTGTTCTTCAGGGTTTTTTATTTCTCCCACAGAACAACTTCCAAAATGGGCAAAGAGCACAGTAGGTGGCTCTCTTTAATATTTCACGGGCAAGGCGACAGTGACTCACCAGATCCTACATCTGTGTCACCAGCAAAAACCTCAGAAAGTTAAACAGCACATGGAAGTATGTGTTATCTTGGATATAACTTTTAAAATTTTTTCTGCTTCCTCTGACTTCCTCCAGCCACATTCTGCTTTTATAACTGTGCCCAGTAAGTTGATGCTAACTGCCTACCTTTAAAGCAAAAGCAAACATGCTCCCAAATGCCAAAAAGGAATAAAACATTTCTCATGGAATTGCATTTGCAAGCTTGTCTGCTTGCTGCAAAGCAGAGAAACCTGATGGCCTGTAGGGAATCTCAAGGGACAAATTGCCCCATTGCCAGAATGGAAAACAGATCTATTCATTTTCCCACAGAAGCCCACAGCCATCCATTTCCACAGGGAGGACCGAAACTCCAGACCAATGATCAGCCCCACCAGCAAGCGCTGGTCTTACCTGCAAATGCTGCCTCTGAATATTGCTCTCCATATTCCAACCTTCACCCACAGAATAGGTGAAAGAAGTGAAAAAGCTAGGAATGCTGCCGTCACTCGTGACGTTTGTTCCTCAATCTTCTTACCACTCTGTGAATTAGCACGAGGATGGAATATGGGGGCAAAGCAACTCAAAACAGGAAGAAAAACATGACATAATTCCGAACTTTATGTCTTCATAGTACCCTACCTCCAGGAATTGAAGGTGCATTGCATCAAACACAGGGAAGTAGGAAGGTTGCCTTAGAGATAATGGCTTTGAAACTTCCTCTCCTGAGAGTTGGCCCTGCTAAATTCAACAGATCATGTCTAAGGGTTGTTCCCTCAGCAAGAAAATGTCCTCTTTGGGACAGAAAGAACACCCTGCAATCACCAGCCAAAGAAGGTCAACCTAACGATTGAAGTAAATTGCTAAGGATCTCACCGGAGAGGTGAGAGGGTGTGACAAGAAAAACCTTTAACTAGAAATCAACATGTTTGAACTGTGTTTCCAGGGCGGAAGCTTCATTATCACATGACCCTTGATAACCTCTCATTTCTTTGAATCTCAGTTTCCTACTCAACAAATTGAGATCAGCTAAGAAGGGACATCATTTAACGCGCACCTACTCACGACATATACTTTACACTGTTCCACTTAATTTAATCCTCTCACAAATCTCTGGGGGCCACCTTTTTCCCTCCATTTTAGACCTGGATAGAGCAAATACCCAATAGTGAAATAAACTGCTCAGTGTTTCCTAGCTACACAGGAACTACAACTGAAACTTGACATGGCCACAAAACATGGGCTCCTTCCACTATTAACGTGCCTACCATGTCCTTCCAATTCCCAGGGCTATTGCAAGTAACAAGGAAGGTAATATATAGGGAACACACTTTGAAAATGTTAGATGTATGTACAATTTTGGTAACATATTATCTGGATAAGGAAGAAAGGTATAACTGGGTGTCTTTGCTTTAAAGAACCTGAACCAAAAAGCACTAGTGTTTGATCTCCCTTCTGTCCCCTTGTTGTGACCTTACTTTGAACATTTTCCTTTTCCCCACAAGCCCCTGGTCTCTCAGGCACACGTTCAGATGTATCCTGGCCAGCTCATCACAATGCATGCACACGGAACAGGCTGACAGAAGCAGTGATCCCATTCTCTGCAAATGCTAGGTGCGGGAGGTACCCATCAGGGGGACCACCGAGCCCTTGCCTTCCCGCAACATGTATCACACCCTGTCCTGTGCACTCATCAATGCCACATGCATAAATTCTGGATGCTTGATTCGGGCACTTATGGCATAGTCAAGAGAGCGAAGAAAAGCATCGTATGAAGTCAAATCAGAATAAACTCCATTCTCACGGGCATGTAGGGATATAGGAGTGACACTAGTTCATTTGCAATAATAAAAGAAGACAAGTGTAGGCATATTTGGGTGTATTTAAATAAGGCAGGTTTGTGTCCAGAAGGGAGTGAATTTAGCAGCACCACTAAATAATCCAAAATAAATGCATGAGAATTTTGTTGTTGTTTTCCTATGCTAACAAAAACATGAAGTTGCTTGTCTGACTTAAGACAACAGGAATAAGAGGCTTACAACAACAGTGTGTAACATGAATGGAACTTCCAACTTCTCTTGTCTTCTTATCTCTCATCAAATTCAAGACCTTCTTTGCTAACAAAGAATGCCTCAGATTGCAGCTTCGCTGACCTGAGGCTTGGTCTAAAAACTAGTACAGATCGGCATCACTGAGAAACATTAATTTATATTCTAAGTCAAGCATTCGCGATCCAAGTCACATGTACAGAGCATTCGAAAAACACTCACTACCAAAGAGCTGTTCAAACTCCAAAGAAGAAAGCACCATAACATTCCAGATATTATTTTGTCTAAGGTAGTATGAAATCACCTTGCTGAAAACCCATTGTGTCCTGCGTCATTATATAACAATATTTATAACAGTTACCACCAATCTCAACCTGACTACCAGGTGCCAGGCCAGGCACTGAGCTACAAACATGTTATTTGAATGATCCCATTTAATCCTCCTCACTACCCAAAGGACCCATTGTGACCATTATAATCTTCATCGTGCGCCTGGGGGGGGGGGACCCAGAAACAAAAAACACGCGCGCACACACAACCTGAATATCAGAAAGATTGGATCACTTGCCCAAGTTAACACAGCTAGTGCACCGCAGAGCTACAGTCAAAGCCAGGTAACCCTCCTCCTCCGGGGCAACTAACCAGAGGATCTGCGGAGCAGAGCAGCAAAACGCGCTGAGAGGCGCTGTGGTTCACAATTCCACAACCAAGGCTGGGCTGGCTCTTAAACGGCAGAAGTTTGCCTTTATGTTTTGATTTTCTTCTCTTTAACTCAGCTTCCTCACTCCCTCTCAGTACTCAAAAGTGAGAGGGGCTATGGCTCCGTAAAGCCAGCTGTTCTTAAACGAGGGGCATCCTATCCCCCACAGGACCACTGGCTCCGCTTCCTCCCAGGGCTGCAGAGAGAAACGAGGACCACAGGGAGTCAGAGACGCCCAGGCGTCCGTCACCTCTCCACCCACTCCACCACGAGTCTGACAGACACCCTCGTAAGGAGCATCGTTCTGAGAAAGCAGGTCAGGGGAGGAGGGAGTGCAGGCTGTCACAGCTCCGGGCTGGGAGCGACTAGACAGACGGGGACACACTGCCCTCCTCTATCCTCACTGCTTACGGCAGCGCTCTGGGGAAACCAAGGTGGGAGTATACCAGGAAAGACCCCTTAAAGGGCTGCAAGTAGGGTGCAGCAACCCGCAGCCGTCCCACAACTGCGTGACTTAAATCCCTGCAAAGCGAAGATGGGGCTCTGGACAATCGGTTTAGAGTCCTGGCCCCAGCAATAACTAGCTTTGTGATCTACCCCAGACACTGCCTTACTCTGTGCCTCAGTTTGCTTTCTGCGGTGGAGGGTGAGGAGTGGGGCTGAAGGAGTCGTTTTGCAAGAATCCTTCCACTCTGAGATTTTATGGCTCCGTGATTCTTCCACGACCTCATCGACAGCGCGAGACTCACCTTTCTTGGGAGACAGAGTGGGTGCAGCGAAAGAGGCGAGGATGGATGTCGACTCGCTCAGCGCTGCTTCTTTCCCTGCGTCTGGTCAAAGCGGAGCCCTGGGGACCCCGATCCGGACAGTCGTCGCCCAATGAGCCTCTTACTTTCCGCTGCACTTTCTTTTTTCCCCCTTTGGGGCTCCTCCCCCGTCGTGGCGCGATTGGCCGCGGCCGAGCGGCTCTGGCTCCACCCGCCGCCTGAGTTCGCCAGCCACCCGAGCTCTGGGCTTCCCGGAGCTGAGGCCGCGGGGCGTCACCGTGGGCGGCCCCGCCAGTGGCAAGGAGGAGCCGCGTGGGGCGGGTCTGCGGGCGGAAGCGAGGCTGAGCTCGGCCGTGTTCCATTTGGCACCCTGCCACCTCCAGGGCTGGCTAGAAGGCGCAAGGGAAAGAGAGGGTTGCTCCTGCAGCTTGGTACTCTGCCAGGGGCTCTGGAAAGATATGCCCCCGACTCTACACTTACACGCACACATGCGCTCACTGAAAGACTGTGGTCTCACAGCGCAAGATAGATGCCACCCGGCCTTTTCTTCTAGGCTCTGTGCATTTAGTTATGCTGCACCAAGGCTGTACATCAATTTAGGCTACAGAATTTGTGTGCCCACCATGTGCCAAGCACAGAGCGCTACAGGAAGTAACCGACTGACCTCGGTGGTCCGGAGCTCTAGCTCTGCTGCAGGCGACAGTGTAGGAACAAACAACTGGTCGTGGCAGCAGGACTGAATCTGCTGTTGTACATTCTCAGTGCCTAGCCCAGTGCCTAGCCCAGTGCCTGGCATGAAGCGGGTACTGGGTTCATATGCTGAGTGATGAATGAACAAAATAATCATTGTGGAAGGGATTGATCTCAAAAGAATCATTTCCTTTTCATTCATTCGCATTTCTCCAGGTTTCTACGAGAGCCCTCCAGCGCCTTCTCCCATTCTAAATGGTAGTCTGTACAACCATCCTGAGAAGCATTATAAAGGCTTTTATTAAATCAACCCCATTATTCAAAAACCTTTCTTGTTTCCTGTTAGTAGTCCATCACAGTCGCTTCATGATTGGCAAGGCCTTTCACACCTGTGCCCATTTCCGAAATCCCTAACAAAGGCCATCGACCAAGCTCACTTGTCTCTTTGCATATGCCTTCCCCACCACCATCTCCTTGATTTTTATTCTGCTCTTAGCATTACCTAATTGAACATTACTAATGTATTTATTTAAAAAATGAAATCCAGAGAAAGATAAGAAGAAGAAGAAGAAGAAGAAGAAGAAGAAGAAGAAGAAGAAGAAGAAGAAGAAGAAGAAGAAGAAGACCAAAAAGACACAAAAGAAGAAAAACGTCTGGGGAACTAGCAGGTGGCGGACTCTGTGCACCTTCTGAGGATGGGCAGGTGTGGGAAAGTCCGATGCTAGGCCTGGCCTCAAGAAGCTTACTCCCCAGAGTAAGTAACACTATAACCAAGGCAGTAGAAATGTTCATTTTATTTCATTTATTGACATCACTTGTGAAAATTAATTTGAAGAAATTATGATTTGTCTCCGGATACCTGGCACAGAGTACATGTTCACAATGTTGTCACTGAATCCAAATATATATGAGGGGGTAAACCAAAAAACAGAATTTATGCATTAAAAATTGTGTATTTATTCTTACATGTTTAAACTTCAGTCACCTTCAAAGTACCCTCTATTTAATACAATGTATCTGTCGAGACATTTTTCCACTGCTCAAAACAGCTTTTGAACTCATCGATTTTGATGACTCTTAGTACTTCTGTCATTTTTTGTTTCACTTCTCCCACATTGGCAAAACCTTTTTGTTTGAGAAATTTTTTCATCGGGGAAACAAACCAAAAAGTCTTTTGGGGCCAGATCTGGTGACTAGGAAGGGTGGGTCACAGGGGTCATGCCGTCTTGGGTCAAAAACTGCTAAACACTCAGCACAGCGTGGGCAGGTGCGCTTGTAAATCACCCATCATGAAATGGGCAAATGCCTTAAAAAGGCCTTCAACAAAGAAATTCACTGAAGCTGAGTGTAGCTTCTCACAGCAATGCCAGCTGGTAGGCTGACGCAGATGGGTTCCTAGAACACTGACCTAGTAGGGGAGGCCTGTACTACAAGGGGCCCGCTCTCCAGAAGGTAATTACATTTTGGCGGGGGGTCGTATATTCCAAAGAATTTTAAGTTACCTGTGTAAAGCAAAAATGAAAGTTTTTTGATTTATAATTCATTCATTAAATGTATTCAGGGCATCAATTTTTTTGTTATATAAAATGCTTATCAAGCACTGTATATATGTGTGCTTACAATATAGTGGTCACTTTGCATATATTCATTCATTTGATTCTCTCAATAATTTATACCGTACTGTTAATACCGTACTGTTATTAGCTTCAATTTGTAGATAAGGTATGGAGAAGTTGTATCTTGCCCACGGCCACGAGTCTATCACTGGAGAATGCAAAATGAGAACTGAGGCTCTAGGTCATCTCGGCCTGCACCATGTCACTGTACCATCTCATGTGCTTCCTAGAAGTCACTCTTTGTCAGACACATGCTGGTGATTCAGAACTGAACCAGGTATAGTCCTGGACTTTGAAGGGCTAATCATAGCTTGGTGAGGATGACAGGCATAGAGAGAGACCAATAATCATAGTGGTATATTATAATTTGAAGACAACATAAATGTTTGGGAATAAAAATGATTAAATAACCAATACTGTCTATAATAATAAAGTATTTGCTGTCATAATTGATAAGTTGTTAAAATATGTCTACAAAGGAAAAGGCTTATAATACCATTAATAAAACTGTAAAAAATGATGGAAACATAAGGACAGTGATTGGAATGAATGTGTAAAATGCTGATGTGTTAGGATTAAGGTAGTACAGACATTTTTTTCTTTATAAGTTTGCTTAGTATCAAAATGTTATTGTAACAAATAAGACAAATGTTTTAAAATTCAACTAACAGAGTTGGATGCATAGAAGATGTTCAGTAAACTATTTTGAAATAGCTTGAAGTATTGGGAAGTGCATTATTACTCTCTTCTTCTTTTTACTACTATCCTCCATTTCTCTTTTCAGGTTATCTTTAATCATTTTGTCATAGCTATAAGGGAGCCTCAGAATTTTGCTAGTCCCTTGAACCTAGTCCAACCAGGCTTTTGTCCCTGATACTCCACCCATAATCAAGGCATCTAATGACCTCCACTTTGCCAAATTTTAATGGTGAATTCTCAGTCTTCATCTTGACCTATTAGCAGCATTAGCCACAGTTGATCAATTTCTTCTTCAAACTTCCTTCTTTGACTCCCTGTTTGCCATCAATTTATTCTCTGGCTCCTATTTTGTTGAATCCTTTTCATGATCTCCGAGGGTTACAATATCCTAGAGCTCAATCCTTGGCATGTTTATATTCCCTCCCTAGGGAATTTCATCAAGACACAGAGCTTTCTCAAACATCCACATGATAATGACCACAAATTTAAAGCTACAGTCCAAACCCCCCAGATTACTGACTCTTCTATATCTCTTTTTAGAGGTTTCATATGCATTTCAAAGTTTACATTTTCAAAACAAACTCTTTATTTCTACCCCTCACCAATTTACCTCTTCCCTCAAGTTTTCCAAGCTTTTTAAGAAACACCATCTTTTTTCCAGTTGTTCAGGCCAAAAAGTGGTATTCATGATGAACTACTCTCTTGCTCATACACAACCCATGAGCAAATCTTCTGTGTCCTGCACATTCAAAACAAATCCCAAATAAGACCACTATTTCTCTCCTCTACCGTACCCACCATAGTTCAGTCACTGTTCTTTCTCCCTTCAATGGCCTCCCTGCTTAAATTCTTGCTCCAGAGTCTTTCCTCACACTTCAGAGTAATTATAATAAATGGAAAATTATAGTAAATAGAGACTAGTTGTTAAAGGCAAGGAACTTGTAACCAGACTGTCTAGGTTCAAGTCCAAATACTATAATATAATCGTGTGATATATGCAAATAATTTAACTACTTTGTGCCTCAGTTTCAGCATCTGTAAAATAATAAATATAAGTAAAACACTTGGGATAGAGACTGCCACCTTCTCAATGAAGTCTGATCTGACAGCTTGTTAGATTTTCTATCTTATTTATGCTATACTTGAATTAATTAATTTATTTATTATCTCTTTCACTAGAATGTAAGCTACATAAAAGTAATATAATGTTTCCATAGCAAATAAATGGTACTCTGCACATAGTATTCATTCAATACTTGTTGAATTATGAATTCAGCCCAAAACTCTCATAGTTAAACCAGTACCCAAAGATACTAACTAATTCTTGCCCTCTTCCTTTGATTTACATTTTTGCAAGGCCAAAATAATTGGAAGAGAAGTCAAATAATAAGTAGCTTTTCTTGGCCTGGAGCAGGGTAAAGAGAGTACAGTACAGAGGCATTTTACTTTAGGTTTTTGAAATGAAGGTAAAGAGCAGGACTGAGCCAAGAAAAAAAAAAGTGAAAAAAGGAAAAAAGTAATTCAGTGATCTTCCATATCCATTTAAGTTCCCATCTTTTATACTTCTCAGCCAATCTTTTTTCCATGCTCACCCAAGTGAGGGGACAAGCTAAGGGGAGTTCATCTGCTCTAGAGCTCTCTAGATGACTATGGACATGTTCCCCTGGGTGCCCCATGTGCCCCAGTCATTTTTCCCTTCCTCCTTATTGCCTCTGTCCTTGATAAAAAGCCCTTCCCCCCCTCATTTTGTCTGGTTAGATGTAGGAAAACAAGCAAAGTGAACAAAGTCATGTGAAAGTGGAAATTCTTAAGAGCTCAGTATGTCTTGTCAGAGGTACATGCTCATGTGCCCAAACACATACATCTAATTATTGAAATTTAAATAATTAAAAGAGAAATTTTAGCTATGTAGCAGGAGGCTTTCTTCATTCATATTCTTAGCAGGCTGTGCTACACGTAGCCTTGGAAGAAGAGAGGCAAATGGGGAACTCCTGGATCCCATCCAGAACTCTGTTTGCATGGGGTTAGAGGTGAGCCCCGCAAATGAGGGTGTCTCCCACATAGAGGTGTCAAAGATAAACACAGTTGGGCATTAGCTGAAGCTGTGAAAACAGATTTTATTCAGTAACTACTGACAGTAGGTGAAAGAGCTGAGCTCTATTCCATTTTGTGAAGTAGAGATTTGGGC